AGTCGTCATGGCGGGGGTACCGATGCGCACGCCTGCCAGCACATCCCAGCAAACAAAAATGAAACTCACCCACGTACATATGTTTTTTATTCTAATACTAATACATTATTTCCATCCGTATGGAGGAGATAAACCTATTATCACTACAGTAGCTAGTATTTATTCATTAAGCGACAGCCTTCCTTCTCATGAGCACCCTAAGCTGAAACCAAATATAGAAAAGATTTTTTGTTGTCTCCCGCACCGGTAGGAATGCCTGGTGAGTCGCCCGAGATTGAGTTTTTGTTCAGCGTGATGTTCACAGCGTCGCAGACCAACTGAAGCTTCGCCCCTATGATAAGCACAAGCATTCGTCACAACCTCAAGCGCACTGTATTCACGTGAATGTAGTTTCAAAACCTCAGGGTGTTTCCGTGCAACAACGAAGAAAGTGGCGCTCAGGGTGAGGTAGACTCGCTGTGTTTCCGGATCGGTAGAGGGCTGCAGAGAGGATATTGAGGACCACTGGACACCAGGAATGGCTGTTCAGGAAGCAGAACGCACATGCAGATACAAACAGCTTTCTCATCATACATGTATCTACACAACGCACCCGTCAACCCTTGTGGTTTCAAGTCCAAGAGCAGCAAGTGGTTGTCCGTCCCGCCGGTGACGAGCTGCAGGCCGTGGCTCTGTAACTCAGCTGCCAACAGCTTGCAGTTGTCTAACACGTTTTGTGAATAGACTTTCCACTCCGGTGTACACGTCTGCAATGCAGACGTGTACCTCCAGCAAACAGCGCAACTATCAAACCACTTTCTTCCCTAGCATTTCGTATTAAAACTGCCAACCAGCAGTTGAGTGCAAGCACGCATAGATTCACATATATGGGTGTTTGTTCAGTTATTCATTCGTCGGGGGGAAGGTCTCAGCCCCCTCTGCGCATGCGGTGAAGCAGAAAAGATAATATTGCATGTTTGTGCCTCTGAGGTGAGGCAGGCGGTGCTTCGCTTGCCTGTTTGAGTTGGTGAGCAACAGCAGCAATGTGGTTCTCGTGAGGTCCCCCTTGAAGGCCTGGAAAGACCGCTGCGTCGACTCTGGAGGCCCCATTTGGCACTCGTTTGGTGTTCACGAATATCATACCGCTGCGGGGCCCCCTGCACACAATACGCGCATGCACGCATGCAAGATACGAATATATATACAAAACATGGACAGTCTCGCGAGGCACAACCAAATGAATATTCATATCTGTGCATTGGCTAGCCCGTAGAAGGAAATATGCCGGCCTATGACTATCAACTCATGTGCAAAGTGCAATGCAGCAAGAGATACGATACGCGCACTGGTATGCATGCATGCACGCATATATATACTTCCTGATTTATGAGAGGCACACTAAACTAAACACAACAGATGAGGGGAGAGAGAGGATTGCGCGTATGGGTTTCGTTTCAGCGGGGGAGTTTCTATACACCTGAGGGTTTTGTGCGTCNGAGAGAGGATTGCGCGTATGGGTTTCGTTTCAGCGGGGGAGTTTCTATACACCTGAGGGTTTTGTGCGTCGTCGTGGTGACAACATCGCAGTAGTCAAACGGCGATTCAAAAATGCCTGCAGCAACGAAACCGCTGATGTGCGCCATATCGCACCAGAGGAAAGCGCCAACTTTATCAGCAATAGCCCGAAAGCGTTTATAATCCAGCAGCCTGCGATGAGAAAGAATACCACTCATAGAAACTTTGAGTTGTAATAGGAGTACACACATACTGTGCGGAGTGTAGAAAACAGGAAAATAAGAAAATACACCAGCATACAGCCGAAACTGCGAGCTTCAGATACAGGCAAACCCTTATAAGCCTTCAACTTCTCCGCCAGCGGTGATGTGAAACCCGAGGAAGAGAAAAGAAAGCATAAAGGCACTCCGAAATTCTAATATGTATTAAGTATACAACAACTTTGGCGTACCGTGGATAAGCAGAGTGCCCGCAGATGATCAGCTTTGGCCGGAAAAGCGTCGCCAGCCTCTCCAGCTCATCGTAGTCTATAAGCCCGGTCTTGGGGTCGAGGCCATAAGGAAGCGACTCAAAGAAGAGAGAGGTTGCACTGATGCGCCGAGACGGGGTGTACGCCCCATGCGTCAGGTGACCCCCTGTGTAGACACCACAGCAGCAACAGGAACAGCAGCAGCAGCAGCAGCAATGCAGCGCTTCGCAGCAACAGTAGCTGCTGCTTACCTACACGGCACTGGAGGCCGAACCTGGGCGACAAGTAACTGCTATTCTGCACNGCATGCATGGGTGCATGCGTGCATGCATGCATGCACAAGCATTACCGTCATTGAGACCGAGGCCCATGAATCGATCATGCGGCTGCAGGAGGGCCATAAAGACGGCGAAGTTAGCGGGGCTGCCGGAGAGAGGCTGTACGTTTACATGCCATTCTTCTGGGTCAAGGCGAAACGCTTCCTTGGCGCGTTGCATGCAAAGAGATTCAATCTGATCCACAATTTCCATGCCCCCATAGTAACGCGCGCCGACGAGGCCTTCAGAGTACTTGTTCGTCAGACAGCTGCCGAGGCAGTCTTGTACCGCCGTGCTCACGAAATTCTATAGAAAGCAAAAAAAACAACATGAAGAGGGAAAGCAGAGCCGTTGCTGTTGAGTTCATCAATAGCTGAGATCATGATCCGATACCTGTCAGGTTTCAGGTCAGGTTAACCCACTTCAGAAGCAATCAGTTCAATGCAGTCGACTTGCCGCTCCTTCTCCTTCACTATGAGGGCATACAGCTCAGGATCTGCATACTTAAGAGGCTGCAAACAACACCCAAAAGGAGTGCTCTCAGTTTCCTTCTTTTCTCTCGTTCTGTTAAGATTCGCCGCATAAAGATACGCCGGCATAAGCACACACAGCTCCAGGCGCTCTCAAGCAGTTCAAACACATTCATGTGAAAAAGATTTGCACGATTACAACTGTCGCCAGAATAAACCCCGAATACACCCCAGAGTCAATATGGATTGACTGCAGCACTGTAGCGTAGCCGCTTAGTCTAGACGGTGCGCTGCAGCATCTAGGCAGAACTTCTTCACGGGGAATACTTGCCAGATCAGTAGGTGACGCCGCCATATTCTCCCCGAGATGAACAATACAAAAAAAGAATGGCTTCGGGATTCAGCGCTTAGCTGGACAAGGCCCTATACATGTGGGTGGGGGGTGTAGTGTCTAGAACGTGTCTATGGTCGTATTGTTGTCAATATATGTTATATTCATAATTCCTGCAAAATTAAACCAATATAACTTCATGAGAACACCTGCAACAAGCAGACAAAACACCAACTCAGCTGTGTTGCACAGGCAGTGGGGTTGGTCTCCGCTGCCGCGCCACAACCCGTGAGTCTGCAGGGTGAAGAATGAGTCATTCTTGCTCACAATTGTATATATTATTCCCTCCTTCGCATTCCTAATTCTCAATTTAAATCAATATGCGCAAATTCTCAACGTAAGTAAGGAAAATTTTTGCTCGCAAATATACTATTAGATACTGAGGTACGGGGGTCACTGCGTATGCCGACTCGTCTGTAGTACATGGTTATGTTCAACTGTTATGTTGAGCAATATGTGATTACTGTATACTGCTGCTTTGTGTGGTTCATTACTAAGCTTCACCGTTGTCTAGTACCTGATCACTTCTTAGTCGTGTGCTGTGTAGTGCGTGTTTCATGCTTCGGTTGTATTCGGTTACGTGATGATGTTTCAGTGTTATTTTTGTAGTGCGTGATCGAGCTACCACTACCATGTGTAGCGCCTCAACTGCATCCCAGCTCTGTATTGTCGTGAGGATTCACAACTTTGGCAGCCAGCTGCCGAGCTGGTAAATACGAGCAGCGACTACGGTCAGTGATATCAACGTAACTCTAATGTATAGTTTCATATATAGAACTAAGAATATATATGCATGAGAAACAAAGGAGTAAAGATCAACAATCAAGTTAACTCCAAACAAAGTATACTTCAAGCAGCTGGCAGAAAAGCAGCCAATGTAAGAGTTAGAAAAAACCATTTGCCCTGCTGGCAACCGCCAGCCTCGTGGCTCCCCGTTATATGTACACACAACCCATGCGTCGCCTGCGCAGGAGAAGCTTATGCTTATGTAACCCCTCCTACAACTGCGCCACAATGCGTGTAATGATCGAAACGGGGAGAGGGGCATGCACGCATGCAGGCAGCCAGGCATTTGTACGGATCGCCTGCCGTGTTCCCTGACTCTTGGCAGCAACCAACGAGAAAGCGCAAGTCGAAGCGCAGCCGGCTCTGCTCTGCGAATCTGCCGGTGTCGGCCTCGCTGCCACACGAAAAGTATCTTTGGAAACAAACTGTCCCATGTACTCCCCCATCTGCTCTCCCATCTGTTCTGCCTCCTAACATGCAACAAGCAACAATAGCGGCACACCTGCGTGTGCAGAAGATAACCGGAAACCGTCGACACCACGAGCGAATAGGCCGCGTTCGCTGCAAAGCTGTCGATTGTTCAGAGGTCCACTACGGGCTTGTTAATTTGGTGTGCCGTGTCATTCGCAGAACCTCACTGACACGCAGCCTCGCCCAGGATAAGCAAGCTGGACTGGGCAGGCCATCAGCGTGAGAAAAATCAATATGCTCCTTTGTCTCTGCATCGGTGGACGAAGGATCGTACTTAGGCATCTGGTGAAATGTTGAAGCGCGTCTGGCGAGATGCTGCTGGCGCCCTGTCAGCGTTTTGCCCTGGTGACGGTGGTTGTGGTTGCTGCACAGCCCTGAGATGTTTATTTGTTAATTGGGGGCCTGCAGCAGCGGCACTGGCATCATCACTTGCCTCAGAGCTAAGCCTGCGCTGTGTGTTTGTTGCATGGACTCGCTGCGAATTTGCTTGCACTGTTGGCGCGGCGACAACCGGTGTGGCAACCGTCGCGCTCTCCTCCCGACGAAACGTCTGCTGTCTACGTTCGCTTCGTTCAATCGCCTCTCCGTTGTACGGGTATGTATACCACTGAGGATGGTTGTGCACTATGTGCTGTCTTAGCAGAGATTCGTACACCTCGAAAAAAAGCCTATGCAAACACAAAACCGCAACATATACGGCATTGAAAGTGAAGCGCAACCGCGGTTCCACTTCTACACGATTCATACTGATACTTTCAAGAAGAAAGTCGAAAAGGAAAACGAATGAATGCCACAACATGAAAAAGAAACAGCCGCAGGAACCTTGTACCCCTCCTGCGAAGCTTTCCAGTACTCACGGAAGCCGAAGCATTTGTGTTGGCAAAGACTTGTGCTAAACATGTCCACTAACTATATCTACGCAGAAAACCAAGCTGCATTCACTTATTGTATCTGCAAAGAGCTTGAAAAACATGCACATTTACAGTGTACGTGTATGCATATGGAGTAGACAGAGAGCGGGCCTCACTTCTCAAGGCGGCCGTCACGCCAGTCGAGCAGAATCACACGACCGCTCGAGTCCGTCAGACTCCACGTGCTTGTCGTCGCTGATGGTTGTTTCTTTGGCCGGCATCCGGTGCCTCGCGCCGTCCCGTTAAGCCTATAAACACATCGCAGTGAAGATATGAGTGTGTACACGTATGTGGAGGTAAAGATATGTGTGAATGTATGGATGGATAAATTCACATAGATACATCCTATCGATAGAGCAAGCAGTGACAGAGCAAATAGGAGAGATGCAACAGCTGAACCGCCTTCGTCGTGCGGTTGCCGTAGGTTTCTAAGAGGCAATCCACCAACATTACATTTGTTGGCGTTGTCACAGTTGTTCGTCTTAGCAAGCTGGATGAAGATGATGGGACAGCAACGTACCGTCTGACGGTGCCCTTCGTGTGTCTGCTGCCAAACACGGCTGCTTCATTGCGAGGTGGCGAGGGGAGAGCAGCGGCTGCATCGTCCGTCTTTGTCTCTGTCTCTGTTTCTGTCTTGCGTCTTCTGTTACGGGCTGTTCGCCGTTTATTGCGTCCTACAGGGCGCGGCTCCCCCGATGGGTATCGGAACAAGGCAGCGCTAGGAAGGTGCCTTAGGGGCCCTCCAGCCGCCCCCGGTGCTTGGAAGCTACCGAAGGTGGGGGGCGCCAGCCGTGACTCCACTTCCGATGCCGACTTGCTGCTGTCCTCGTCACTGTGGCTGCTCGTCCAGCTACCCTGCGTCCCGTCGTTGCTACTTGTGCTCAGACTGTTGCTGCTTAGCTCGCTGTCGCTGCTGCTGTCCACAGAATCGCCGATGCTGCTGCTGCTGCGCCGCTGAACGCTTTCCCCGCATCGGCAAGGCGCAATGCCGCCCGAAGCTTGTCGTCCACCTTCTGCATTCACCCTCCCAGGAGGCGCCAGCTCCCCAGCGTTCTCAGTTGCAGTGAGACGCTGGTCAGCTGGTTGAGCTGTTCCTCGGGCAAGAGCTGCAGCAGCGGTGTTGCGACACTCTCTTGGTTCGCCACAAGCGTCCGCAGCAGCATGTGCCCCTACTGGGGAGCGCGCGTCGCTCCACGCCTCAATGGTCGTGCAGGAACGGACAAGTGGTCTCTCCTCCAGGTCTTCACTGTCTAATTCCCCGTCCGCATCAACTGTTGATGGAACTGTGCAACTAACTGAGGTATTGCCACGGGGGGTTGCTGCGGTCGCTCCAGCAGCAGGAACGAGGCCACCGCAGCGACTGCAAACTCCATTTCCGTCAACAGCTTGCTCCTCCACAGGCTCCTCGTCCCCAGCCCTTTTCTTCTTCCTGAAGGCTTTCTTCAGCTTCGCCTCGAACGACGTGCGCCTCCCCTGCTGCTTCCCAGGGTCCCCCTGCAACTCGGCAAGATCCATTATCCCGAAGCCCAGCCTGTTCGTGCTCATTAACGACGTCGAATCCAAGGCAAGGTAAGAAATCTCTAGGCTTCGTCGAATCTGCAGGGCCCCGCAAACATGTAAACAAAACCCCTCCAGCATGATGCACATCTCATTAGAAAAGCCATACACCAGTGGACCAAAACACCGCTAACTGGTAGCGCCCACAAGAGGAACAGACTGGTAGATATGTGGACGATACAGCGATCCCCACGTCAGCCCTCAGCGGCAGCAACAGCAACCGTGGGAACAGAAGTAAAAGCTCCTAGGCTCACCAGGTGCTCCAAAGGTGAAGGTACGTCGAAGTCGTCGCGGACTGCAATCGTCGCCGTCTCCCGAACTGTCAAGTGGTGGCGGGCGCAGATTTGCAACAGCTTCGTGGCGAGCCGAAGCGTTCTCAGACAATTATCCCTCAAGGCAACCCGACGTGACAAACGCTCCAAGTCCTTATCCACGTCGAATGAATATATCAGACGCAGTTCGCTTTCGCTGTACGGTTCCTGATGGAAAGCAACACACGCAGCACCACAGCCCAAATACACAGTCGCGTTTGCGCAGTGCAGAGAGCTGTATAACAGTTGAAACGGTTTAAAACTCCGCTTCAAGCCGCACAACCAGTCAACCACCCCTGCAGTAGCACACTTGCAAAGCCTGTCAACGACCACATTCGCCAACGAACAGCTACTGCTTAGCCCTAACAGAAGAGCTAGCGCATCTCAGCAGTAACTTGCTGTTCCTCACTTTGCTTTGGGGCCAGTCGAACCAAACTAGGTCAAGGGTCGCCACATCGAGAACGTCCGTCAAGATCATTCCGTGGTCAATGGGAATAAGGCGAAACCTGCGGTTGGACCACCTGAAGCAACATCTCAGGGTAAATTGCTCTAATTGGGCTGTGTGGCTACCACTTACGCTGGGGTTGCGGATTGTTGGCCAGAAAAAACTGGGCACTCACTTCGTTGGTTTTCCATCGGGTGTCAATACCCCGGACGCTGCTGAGGCTGCTGTTTCCGCACCTGCCACTGCTGCCTTGTCAGCCACGCAAAGTTGCGTCCCGCAAGAGCCCACAGCAGAAACACTGCGCAACAATTTGCTCTGGATCTGTTTCACAACCCCACCTGAGGCACGCAGGCTACGAGAGCTGCTGCCAGCAGACGACTCCTTCTGGTAACCCACCACAGGAGCCACCAGAATGTTGCTGTCATTCCGGTCCAGGTTCATGACACGCAAGTCAAATATCGCAATACGGTGCACATCGCCAACCGAGAAGAGCCGAGCGTCAAAGTTTCCGACACACTCCTGTCAACGAGGAAAACGGCACAAAGTTAAACTTCTATTTGTGCACATCCGACGTGGATACTTATGCTTTCGACTAACTACCGCCCGGATCTTTTCATGGTATCCCTTCGAGCAACCCCGTACCCGACGCTACTGAATTATGTTGCCTATTTGAGCATACGTGTTACCTTAATAAGGTGAAAGTACGTATTTGCACATTTTATACACTAAGACAGAGACAAACATTGATCACATCTTCGTGCATACTCATTAAGAGCTCTTCATATTTAAGAACAAACACGCAAACGCACGCAACGAAATAAGACGCACCTTGGCCTCCACGAAAGCCTGAAAGCTGCCAACTTTCCATGAAACGCTTGGCGACGACTCGCTGCGGACGTATGAATTCATCATTACGTCCCCGTCGACCTGAACCGCCCCGTCACAGCCAAAAGAGATGACGCGCACAGAATCAGCAAAGCACTGACATGGCTACGGCATTACATACGCCCGCAGTGGACCCACACATAGCATCGGTAATCACTGGGGAACACACATAGAAAACTATAGCGCTGCGAAGATAACGTATGGCATAATCAAAACAAAAGCCACAAAGCCCACTTCGATTTGGCCCTTGCTGCAGAACGCCGGGTGGCACGCCTCCACCATCATAGTTGCTGGAACGCCAGCAAAGCCGCCATAGCTCGCGTCAAGAAGGTAAGCTGCGAACTCCCGTCCCGCCCCCTCTCCGCTTAGCACTCCTCCCCGCAGCCCCTGCTGACCCAGGCGCCCCTCGTAACCTCGTGGATTACACGGGGCGAAGGCTTCTTCGTCCTACGTGCACAAGATTCACCGGAACGAACATGACATCAAATCTTGTGCGCTGCCAAAAAAACAGCACTCTTGTCCATTATGCATGCAAATCCTATTCCTAAGACCGCTATCGCGAATATCTCTGTCCAGGTGTGCCATGAGCTGCAATCGTTGAACTCGCAACGTGCTGAAACATGTAGAGCTTGGGAACGCATCTATACTGCATCACAGAGCATCACAGCTATCGAAGCTAGACGAATGCTAAAATGAAGTTTGTCTTTGGCCTTGTCTCACCTCAGGCTTGAACACAGCCACTGGCCTCCGGCGGCCGTCAAACAAAATGTAGGTGCCACCAGTGCCATCCATAGTCAGTTTTGGCGCCACGTTCCTGCGAAAGCCAAGGCGGACCTGCACACCCGACAAGACCGAAAAAAGCGCAAACACCCTACTGTGTCGGCGGCAAAGCAGCTACGTCAACGAAACGCAAGCATAACACTCACCTGCAATGGGAACATATCGCTAGTTCCGGTACAAACAAGCCCCCAGCCCAAATATCGAACAACCCAGCCCAGCACGTAATATTCAAAGAAAAAAAAGCACACGGTATAGCTGAACCAGCAGAGATAACGGGAGCAGTAGGAAACTCACTTCTTCAAGAATCCTAAGGAGCTCTTTGCTGCGAAAGGTCTGGCTGCGCGCAAAAGGCCTGATGGAAGCCTGTGCACTGCCTCCCCTAACAGCCCACAGCAGCCGTTTGACCGGATTTTCGAAGAAGACGGTCATGGGTCGCCAGTTGGGCAATTCACTCCCCCTGAATATCAAACGTACGTCTTTTACCTGAATGCACAGCAACACCCAATGCTAGGCCACTCACGAAATGCGTTCAATGTGAGAATGAACCCCTATATTTCGTTGGTGGACAATCAATCACATTCATATTGATACGGGTGAGCATATATTTGCGCCTACAAATGCAGATACACGTTTGGACCAGCACGCATTGAAGAAGCGAGCTCATGCACTACCCGCCATATATGCCGTGATAACGGCGCGAGCAGGGTATACACAGTAGTTGTTTTTGCAATTCTTCCCCCCCTTTCCCCCCCCCCNCCCCCCTTCCCCCTTCAACCCCATCAGCCCGATGCGATGCACTGGCAACTCCATATCATGCACATCAGAACTGAACATAGCTGAATAAAAGGACAGATAATATCCGACTCATGCTTGAGCAAGCGCAGAAGAGGGAATACGCACACTACACGTGTACAGAAGAACTTCTATTCATTGCAGACACAACATATACATATATATATATGTTACCTGCATAGAGGCGGGGAGCCTAAGCTTTTTGATGAGGAGCCTCTTGACCATTTGTACGTCGTAGAAGGGGTAAACATCTAGCTCGCAAGAGCGCGAGCCATGAAGTTCTTCGAAGCAAACGCGGAAATGCAAGTCTTCCCCATCTGCCCCCCGCAATGCGTTATGTGTGGAGAAATAATACAAGGGGTGTGAAGGCAGCATCATAACCCCGCCCCCTCCTCCTGTCCCGCCAGCGGCGGCCGGGCCTTCAACAGCAGGCATCCTCTGTGCTATGCGCAACAGACGGTATCCTTTTGTTCTTTCACTTGTCCTGTGAGTCGCTCCGGGCAGTTCTGAGTTACTTTAAGACGACAGCACAGTCTGAACGGTCAACGGGCCCATCGGATGCGGTCGTTATGTCAAATGTATGGTGCATGCGATGTTTCCCCAGCTACTGCGGCAGCTGAAGCTACCGCTGAGGTGCTGCCGGAGTGCTAGCTGCTAACGGTGCTGCAGCACAAAGACGCAGGTGTGGCGGTCCTGCAGGCGTGCGGCCTGCTTCTGTGACTGGGAGATTGTGGAAGAGCTGCCGCGGAGCAGCTCTACACACACACCACGAAGCGCTGCTGATGCTGCAGCAAGTGCTGCTATCGCTCTAGGCTGCTGCTGCGCCGTGGCGGCATTGGGCGGCTCAACCATACTAGGCCAGAGCCAGTGCTGGTGCTATCGCTGTTGGCCGCTGGCCCTCGGTCGGTCTGCATATGGCCCCCAGTCCGCGTGTCGCCTCGTGTGAAGCGTCACACCCTGCGAGGCAGCGCTGCTCCTACGCAGGACGGCTCTGACGGCTCTCTAGAGCTCCGGAAAGCATTCGGCTTCGCCTCCACATGCACGCACCGCTGAGCCGCTCCCATGCACTAACCAGCTATTATACCTCCACCGTCGTCGTTGTAGGCGCGGCCCAACTGCTGAGGTTGAGCTGTGGGCGGCCTACAAAGCAGTCGGAGATAGCACTGGTATTAGGCGAATAAGAACCGCAACGGTGTAGGGGAATGCTGGAAGCAAGTACAGCGGCGCACCTGCGGCGAGCCCACTAGCGCTGGGCGCTGACGGCAGACCAGCTGCAGAGGCTACGCGGCTCTGCAGCTCCGAACCGCTGGAAGAGGTCAGCATGCAAGCTGAGAGGCGTCCGAGAGGTGTACGGTGTGGCAGACTGGCTGAGTGGGGGGCAAAGGGCCGGCGTTGTTGTGGAGGGGTCGAGGGGTTTGAGTTGCTTCTGTTGGTGGCCTGGCCACCGAGCCTCTGCTGCTGCGCCTTGTTGTTAACAAGGAGTGATTATGCCCCAGTGGTGAAGTCGGTGGTGAGTGAGGAGCGCCCCACGAGAGGCGAGTGGCGGAGGGAGCGTTCAGCAGACACGCAGGAGCCAAATAACAGACAAAGTGTTGTTTAGAACCGAAACTCTGCTTGCCTTAGCGCACAGCAGGTGTCAGCTCTGGGTGCTTCCAGTTGTTACTCCTCCGGCTGCTGCTGAAGGACACGTACAGCCGCCTCCACGGCTACCGCCTTCTTGCGAAGTACTGGCTGCTGCTCGCGCACCGTCCCCCACCCACCCACCCAGCCCATTCATACATCATTACTCTATTTCTATAGACCTCAACTTCACTTCTTCGGAGGATGCAGGAACGTGTCTGCCTCACGTACCAACCTCTTGGCAGCATTCCACTGCCCGCTACGGCCTTAAGAAGGCAACGTGCCCGGCCCACACCCACGGCAACTAATCGCCAAAGCGAGGCTTAATAGGCAATTCTAGGGAGAATTTTACGAAAATGATTTGAAATAGAAGTGATGGGGATGTGAATATGGCCGTACTTCTTCGATTTGGGCGCAACATCCGGCGTGTGCGTTACGTGCGCAGGGCGGAAGTGCGGCCTTCTACTGCCGTAGCACGAGTAAGCGACGCAGCTGTGCCCATGTAAATAATGCTTTTGAGTGCCCTACCAATGTTCCGCTTGCTAGAAATGCTTCTTGCCCCGCACCGGTTGCTCTTGTGTCGCGTGTTGTACTTTGTAGATGGGGGTGGGGTTGCCGCAGAGCATGGAATACCCGGAGACTTCCGATTTAAACCCCTCTGCACAAACTCTTTAAGCTCTGCCGACGTAAAGCTAGTGCATGAACGCGTAAGGGGCCGTCTGTGACGTGGTGTGGATTGGTCCGGGGTGGCTATAGTCGCTGCTCACCTCAGTTAGTCAAAGGCGAATGTTGACGTTGCTCGCCTCATGGAGGATGACCTGAACTCGGTTCTTCGTCTTTGGTGATTTGTTTCAAGGGATTCGTCGCTAGAGGGGCATGGGCAAAGTCAGACGCCCATGCAGGATAACTAACACCCAACGCATGCCATACATGTGTTGGTACAGCTACTTGTGCATCCTTCTTGTTTACAATTTGCATTTGCTACAGTTAGACAGGAACGGCTCGTCTTTACGTTATGGCGACTAGTGAAACATATATAGGCTGAAGTCAAGGTAGGCGTACGTGGGCAGCAGGGCGTACATTTTGGTGTCATGGTTTGAGGCGAGTGGTGGTTCCATTCGTTGCAGAGGCAGTGCAAGTCCCAACTAAGCTATTGGTAAACGTTACATGCCTTCGAAAGCCAAACGTGTGGTGCCCGATTTAAGTTTTAGTAAGGTATTCTTGAAACTCGACACCAGCAGCCACCTCAGCTATGCGACCTCTCCTCTGGTTGAGCTCAACACTACTTCCAACTTTGAAATATTTATCCGGTCCCGATAGCGCTCTTCCTGTAATGAGTATGCAATGTAGTGGGAGGTTTGTACTCGGTCTGCCGACGATTCCGGTAGCTGAGGACGCCGGTTCCTCTCAAGCGAAACAGGTCGATTTTAAACTTCAGTATGCGCTTCTTAGAAGATACGCTGGCCAATTCTATCAACTGCAGTTCGATTTCAAGGCACACAGTGAATGCCTAAGCGGGCAGGATCAGTCGTTGCTACCGTGTGTGTAGTGGGTCTACTCTTTTGGCAGGCCTTCGTCTAAGTACAGGTTCAGTTGAACAGGCGGGCGACACAGGGGGGTTACCTGTATATTTCTGTAGAGAGAACTATCCGTTGTTGAGTGGATGAATTGCATTTCTCATACAGAGGTGCGTATAAAGAAGTGCGTGAAGTGGCTCTGAGCGTTCTTAGGAGGGTCGCCCCACCCTCATCGTCACGTGTATACACGAGCGGCCAGCCCCACAAATGCAATATACCTGGAGCATTTTGGAAGCATCCGGCACTTCATTTTGGTAGCGACCGACTACTCCGGTAATTACGCGTACATGGAATAAAAACTTAGGAGGTATGCATAAAGGGGGGTTTTCCCGCTGGGAAGCTAGCTTCAAAGCTGGATGGCGGCGGGGCTAACCCTACCGATCACGTGTCATGCGTGACTGCCGCGATGAGCTGTGGCTTCTTCAAAACGATTTGTTTCAATGCACCGCACATTGTAGTTTGCTTTAGCAGCACTCGCGAATCACATTTGGCCCTTACAGTGACCCGCAAAAAATTTCATATATTCCCTCATAATCCATTCTCATTCAATTCAAGTTAAATTCACGTAATTAAACAAATTAACACTGGCAATTAAACACTTCCACCGAGCTTGGTACGCAGTGTCAGCAACTAGACGCCTTATTAGGGTTATCTCCTTTATTCAGCCGATAGAAGGGGCTCGGAGACACCGCCGGCTTCTTCAGCTTGTAGAGAGGGCTCAGAAGCGGTGCTGGCGTCTTCAGAAGGAACAACAGGGCCACTGCTGACTGCCCGAGGTGGTACCAGAGCACCAAGCTCCTCACGAAGCTTCTCAGCCGTGGCAAGACGGATTGCCCTATCCTGTTCTTCGGTAGTTGGCCGAATCCTTCTCACAACAATCTTTGCAGTAGCGGCAATACGCTTCACGAGCAGTGGTTTAGGGAGCCGAAGCCTCTCGAAGCGTCCTGAAAAAGCGCAAGTGTCGCAACTCGTAGCCATAGTGTGAGCAACATCTCATATCTGGGGGCGTGAGCATGAGCCTGTATAGTTAGGGCCTCACCAGTTTTGATAAATGCCAGAATATCAGCAGCAATTTGGGTTACACTGAAGAACTTGGGCCGGGTTTCTTTGCTCAGTACTCTTTTGCGAAGAGGAGTCCTCTCCGGTAATGACCATTGAACATCCTTTAGCAACAGTAGCCGATCGTTGAGGGTATCCCAACCACTGCGTTGGGCAATAGCCAAAATGACTTCTTCAACTACCCGTTTTCCAAATGGCAACACCGGCGTATGCAAAAGGTATTGAAACCCTCGGTCAAATGCCCGTGGCAACTCTTCAGGCCTGCTCAAAATAAAATTGTAGAGGTCGCTCGCTGTCGCGGCATATGCTGAACGCACAACACCCGCATCACGCCAGAAGTGTCAGCTCCGCAAGACGTACATCATGCTGCAAATTTAATGCCACCGGATCAGCAGAAAAGTGGAGGATTATCTGCTCCCGCGGGATTCCTTACCTGCTTCTATTGCAATAAAGGCTTCGCTTAGTAGCTCATTTGTTATATTTTTCGCTGCTTCCGGTGCTGCCGCTCCATCCGATAGCTTTTTGACGAAACAGTCATTTCTGTAAAGATACTGTTCTTGCAGTGTAAAAGGTAAATAGCCTGCAATATCTTCCATTGCCTCCTGTAGGCAGTCTATCTTTGCTTGTTCGGCAAGCTTAAGAAGGCCGGATATGAAGACGGTGAGCCCAACTCTGTCAAGCAGCGGCAAGTTATCGTTGCTCATTACAATCTCGCGAGCCTTTGCAACAACTGCTCGTGGCTGTATGGTTGACGATTGGCGCATGCTGAAGAATACGTCCGCAATGTCGGTAAAACGGTTCGACGCGCTAGCATTGGCCAAAGCTTCTCCCGTCAATGACGCAGGATTCTTTGTGAGCTCTTCAAGCTTTGCAGGATCAAGCATAGCGTACCAGTCGGCGAGACATGGTGGATCTGCGGCAAGACAGGGGAATCGAACAGCAACGGATGCAGTTTAGTACATTCGTACACTGCAGTATATTCAAGGCGGGCGATTACATGCAGTTCATGTGAGGCCCCCCAATCTGCGCTTCAAAAATGTGCCTTTGATACCTTGCAGTTGGTGGTTCGACTCACAAGAAACACTTGCATTGACGATTTTGGGAGCTCCCTCTTCTGTGGCAGTCTCAGCCCCGAGAGCAAGGCGGGCAACCTTCCTAAGGACATCTGCCGGCTTCAGCGGGTTAACTGGACTGGCACTAGAAAACTCAATGACATTAGTTATAATAAAGCTCAAGACGCCAGTAGTCATATCCACGGCTGCAAACTGGGCAGCTGCGAGGTGGCCTAGTTCGTGGCCTAAGAACGAAATCAGAAGGCCGCGAAGGTACGGAGACACAGTGTTGGCAATTATCAAGCGGGCTTCGGCTTTGATGCTGGTGTTAACGAGGTCCTGCAGGAACGTCATTACAGGCTTCCTGTCCACGCGTGTCCTCTGGACCAGGTCATTGGGAGTGACCTCATCTTCCTTAGCTTGCTGGAAATTGGCAAGTTCAGACAAGATATGACATAGGACAACTTGGTCGTCCATGTTCACAGAAACCAGTGAACCACGGAAGAACACCTCGGGTGTGTTCCTCAGAAGGCCATCACACATCTCAAACATTGTCCGTCCCTCCAACTGAGCAAACACACAGGAAAGTAACAGATACGGGCCAGGGAAAATCGTAATCAGTAAATTGTCTCGACGCTAAGGAACAGCGTGCCAAGTTGGGCTACTCCACTCGTGCTTTGTTTGGCTCACCGGAATCTGGAGAAGCTCAAGAGCTTCCAAAGTATTTGAAATGCTTTGGACCACGGAATACTTCGTCTTCAAACTCATAGCAGTGCTACGGGGATCAGTTTGGGCAGAAGCCTTGAAAACGCCAAGTGCTGAAGCAGCCGCAACATTGAAAAGCTTCCAGCAACATCCAATCGCAGGCGTGCACTAAGTTGACACTTAGATTCTGCCTACAGAGCTATATTGAGATATAACTATGGAGGCAGCCTGTACTTACAGATTCGAAGTTCGGCCAAGTCCTCCGGCGTGGCTCTGTCGAGGTACTCTATTACTTGCGCAACGCTGAGGGAGCTGTTGAGGAAGGCGAGGACCTCGACGCCTGCCAAGGATAGTTGGAGAGCCTTGCTAAGCTGCCCCGGCTCTGGACTTTTGAGAGCCAACATGGCAACCGCAAGTTCCATGCCTCCTTTTCCTTCTCCCATGTACCGGAGGGACCACCCGGCAGCTGTTTCCACTGTTTCCACTGGAAGAGCTTCTATCCGTGACTTAAGCCGTTTATACTCCTCTGGGGAAATGCACACGTACATGCAGCAAAGCTATCTAAGAAGAGACTAAAGGATCGGTGTTTCTGGAATGCTTGTTGCTTGAACTGTCAATTACCTCTTGCTTCTATTGTTTGGACAGGAACGGAACGAAGTTCGGATATGATGTTCTGCATGGCATGGCCATCGGAAAGTATTATCGCCAGCTCCTCAAAGGCTAACTGTAGCCGACCATATTCGTGCAGGTCTAAAGCTTCGATGAAGAGTCCACGCCGGAACTCCGGGTTAGGGAATACTCGTCCCTCAGCTCCCTGCACTGCAGCGAAGAATGTTGGGCCGTGCAAAACGTTCGGTCGGCTGCAGAACAGTACGGAGAACAAATACCGGACTACCTTCATAAGTAAGCCCAGCCTTAAAGATCCCACCAGGGTGCTGAACTGATCCGATGCCATTTGAAGTTTCAACTTACATTCTTTTAAGAAGGGCTAGTTGCCTTGCGCCAGCAAACCTCCTGAACTTTGCGTAGCAAGACTTAACAAAAACTTCCATAGACTTTCGGAGGCTTTGTGGCAGCTTCTTGATGTTCTCAGCATAGCCCCGCAATACTGTTACAAGTTCCCGACGATCCTTGCGATAACGCCTAGGCCCTCCCAAGGCGGGATGTATTTCAGTGTACAACTTGGCAAGAGTTTCTCCTTCTTGCGCTCCTGCATACTCTACGCTCAATTCCTGCACCAATTTATCGTATGAATACTGCGCAGCAGTTGCGGCGTACAAATCAGCCTCAGCGGCAAATGTATGAATGTTGAGAAAGTCCATCCAACTCGTTGAACCGCGTACGCTGTCCAGAATATCGACAAAAGACATGATGTAGTTGCGCACTGCCTCCTGCACATTTCGCGTACCACATGGGTTGTGAACAAGTGTAAGGAAAAGAAAATGAAGAGCAGAAAGCTGTAGGTATTCCATGTCTAGAAACTGCAAATTGCGTAAATGTGACTAACCTTATCAGCATCTGCAATATTGTCGACACTGCCAATCTTGAAGAAACGAAGGGCCGAGCATCTCACAATGAATTCTTCAACGTTCTGATCCACTTCTTCCAGCCATGCGCAGTGCGGTGCCTCCGTCAGCAGCGCTCCACGCTTTTGAGCCAGTAGAAGGTGCAAGACATCTCTTTGAAATAGGTTCATAACCAACGTTTTGCCAGTACGGTGCTTCTGAATTTTTTGGTATGTCATGTAGGCCACAGTCATCAAAAAAACAGATACCATATCCTTAGAATCAAGGCTGTGCATGCGTACGATGAGCCTGTTCATGGCGCCCAAGAAGATGCTTTTCACAGTAGAAAAATTGAGTGGGAAGGTGTACAAGCGGCCTTCCAACATCACGCTGGTGGGTGGTCTTGTTTTGGCAGTGGTTGAGAGAGCGTGAAGTGTGTCGAAAAACATTTTGGGAGTGAGGTTTTGCATGAAAACAGATGGACTGTGGCTCCAGAAGGAGGCTGATTTGGAGTGTATGAGATTAAGTAGGCTCGCCATCTGTTTAGCATCGCACAACAGAGAAAATGGGTATAACTTCGTATTCGTATTAGCTGGAGCTATTGCGAGGGCTTAAACATTACTTGAGATTCTGGCGTGCACAGTAGTATTGCCTCCTAAGGACGTACCATTTCAGCTGAAGCCCTTCCTTGCACGTCAAGAAACTTAGCCACGATTACATCACGCACGGCCGATGGATCTTCCTTTATAGATGCAAGCTCCTCCCGCGGATCGTTGTACTTGATCTGTCCACTGATTTTGTGTACAGGAATGCCTTCCGCTGGTGCTCCTTCCCCCGTCCCTGGCTCTAGACCTTCTAGTTGGGCTTCCGGTGCAGTTGGGAACTGCAGCGTCCCCCTGTTGCCTTCTTCGAGATGGAACCAACAGGTGGCGCTAAGCGGAGACGGGCGAAATGTGGTGGACGTGCCTTCTTCCCTTCCGCTAAGAGCTGCAAAAACGAGGTACAAAACATAGGCCAGTTGCACTATGACTGTACTGCTTTCAAGCTATTCGTTCCATCTAAGGTGGAGTTGTATACACACGCAGCACTGATGGAATGTGATTGTGCAGCTCGTAGAAGGAACCAGGGACACGTGCAATTTACCTCTCACGTCGCCGGCATTATCCGCTGAAATACGCAACAATATCGCAAATGTAAACATGCGTTTTGTAATCGTACAGACTTATTCCTGGCAAGACAAATAGCTGAGCTAAGTGGATCAAAACTGTTCAGTAGGACTTGTGTAGTGAACCTTACGCGTGAACTTTATGCTGCGTCCGTTAGCGTCGTGCAAGATCAGGGTTGTAAAATCGTCGGCAAACTCGAATCGAATAAATACTAGCTGGACAGTAAGAACACGCAGATGAGCTTTTATTTGTTGTCGACACTCACATAGGCGGGTTCATATGTGACCTTTGACATGTTTCGCGACAGCGATTCGTAGGGTTGCCACCTGACTTACTCGGCTAACGACTGCGTGACGGAGGTATTGAAGGAAGGTACTCATGGAGGCTGAAGAGGAAAGCGCATCGTAGAGCATTTTCACGCTGGTCTTCTTTGCTTCCCATTTAAGAATTTAGTCGCAGATACCTTATTGTGGTGCAGTGAATTGCCCCTTACCTCGATCGCTTGCTCCCTCGGCAACAACCTGGTTATCCCGGGAGAGCTTTGAAAACTCCCGCCAGCGCGTGAAAACGTCACCCAGAGCAGCATCGTTAAGAGCAGCTATATCGGTGGCGGGAACTGCCATGGGTACGTGAGTTGCGAAAAGAGCTTCCTTCACAAATAAGTTCGCATCCACTGCGGATGTTACAACTTTGCCGCACACATCCGGATCTGTAACTCCCAGTTGCGGGTTGCACTTCGAAATGAAGTCTTGGACGGTCTTTACAGATTCATTACCTTCCAAACGACTGATCATTATACGGCTTTCAAGGAAACGTCCGTATAGCGAGTTTACAGACTGACGGAGCTTCTTAGCACCGTTGCTTAGGAAGGCGAACGCAACTCTGTCGCGGCGATTCCGGAGCGTTTCGTCCCCCATGTCTTCGACGACGAAGTGCAGCGAGAGGCCGGCGGCTGAAAAAGCAAGGCCACGAAACACAAATCAATTGCGTGCTGGTGTCAATAAGCAAATGTGCACAGCACGATGCTGATATCGGGCTCCAAAGGCAGTTAGTTGTCCGGAATGTGCGAATATCACTCATGAACTTTTGCGAATTTGATGGGCCGTACCACTGTCGAAGAAACCATGTGCCAAATCTGTACCAGATTTTACGAACCAAGGTTCTCTGAACATTTTCCTAGGAAGAGCCGTCTTGCCGCTTTCAGCTGCTGCCTCCCTGTACCGTTGAGTGGTTGCCATTGCAGCTTGGATTCGATCACCCATAGACTCGAGAGGCAACTTCTCGCTCAGAACGTTCGCCACGTCAGCGTTCAGCAGTATATATGCAGTATCGTAGAATATTGACATCATCTCACCGACGTACGACTGAAAGAACCGGTAGTCATATTTCAGGATCCTAACTACCTGTTTCACCACTGTTTGTAAATGCTTCAAGGGGTCTGCCCTGAAGGAAGTTACAAACTTTCTATGTTTCCGGCACTGCACAAACGTTTAACACATACAAACAAACAAATCTAATGTTCTCGCTCAGCTGTGAGGAGGGAAAAAATGACGATAACTGCCTCCCTACAGGTAAGGACCATAAATTGTTCAACTTACGGCGGCGTCTAGGCGGGTTCTAGTTTCCCCTGCAGATACTTGGGCACCGGGAGCCTGCGAGCAAAATCCATACGCATTGACTGTGCATATCAGAGCACGAAATTTCAGAAGTGCCAGTGCACTATCATGCTGCGTTTTTTGCGGCAAAGTGGGAGGCATTTACAATGGCTTTAAAAGCGGCAAGTATATCTTCCGTTAGTGGCTCCTCCGAAAACCGCTGCGATCCTTCATCCTCTCCTAAGCTTTCAAACTTCTCTGTATCTGATACCGAAAACCACTGCGATCCTTCATCCTCTCCTAAGCTTTCGAACTTCTCTGTATCTGATTCCGCTGACGTCGACTCGCCGGACATCAAATCGATCATTGCTTGCTCTTCTTGTGTCCCACGTTGGGTTTCCATACTCTGAAAAGCAGCACAGTGTAGAGAACATTTACGTGAGGCGCTCGCGAAGGTACTCTTATCCTACACACCGTAGCCATACGGCACTTTGAACAAACACGGTCCACACACAGCAGTCTAGAGCTCACCTTGCTTTCACAGTACCCTACAAAGGCTTCTGCCCCTCGCTTGTAAGACCTGATGGTGGTGATGAACGCTCGGCTGAAGTCAAATGCTCCGACCCAAAGTCCATCAGCGTAATTCCAAGAAGCGTTGCCAGCGGCAAGGGCTTCAGTTACACGCTTTCCTTTTTGTGTAATATCTCTCACGTCGACAGCATACAGCTGGAACAGAAGGCTGATCATTGCTGGAGAACCGTTGCGGAGCAGGTCCTGTAGGATCGGCCACGCCACGGGATCTCCACGAACGGCTGAACACGGAACAAATCCGCAATACGACAGGGTATTCAAAATACAAGCGTGCAACCCTTTTAGTGGTGATTTGCGCTGTATCCTGAAGAGAAGCGACGAAGCGTCGTTTACTATAGCTGAACAAGGTAAGCAAGCATGGGATAGAGTGGCCTACCAAACCGGCGGAACAAAATTCGAATGCCGCGTAGGCCCAAACGCGTGATGTTGGCCAATGCTTTGAAAAGGTTCTTGACGGCAACGAGCACTCCAGTTTTGCAGATCACACCGATCATGAGGGAGAAGATACCCTTGAAGCTTGCGTAGGCGGGGTAGAAGACGAGCATGAAGGATCGAGAAAGTGACTTCAACATGGACCCAAAAACTCCACCCGGAATTACAGCGGTATAAGGAGCAATGCTATTCATGCGATAGCCGAAAGAGAAGCAGGCACTCTTGACTTCTCCTGTTGGAAGACCCAAGACCCCCTCAAACGTCTCGTCGAAAGCGACACTAACCACGTTAGAAAGCGTTGCCAGAGGGTTCTTCCATAATGACGTTGTCCATGAGAATATCGGTTTGCCTACATCGTTAAATAACCCGACATATACCAGACCAAAATGAGCAAATCGTTGTGCGTTGCTGTGGTGCGGTGCAGCAATGTGCCTGCAAGATTGGATCGCTCACCCTTATTTGCCAGAATTAGGTCCATTGCATGCCCGCCAGCGTTGACAGAGCGAAGGGCTGCAAGTATCGCCCTTCTGGTCTGAGTATAGGCCTTTCGATTCACCAGTGACTTCCTCAATGTGTAACTCTGCTGTAGAACCAACGAAGCCATGACCTCTTCAGCGGCGACTGCCTTGTCTGCGAACACTCATTAGCAGTTGCGTAGGTCGGTATACTGTGAATTTATCTTCGTAGGCTTCTTTGTCCTCGCACTGATGCTCCCTTTGCAGAGAGCTTACCTTTTCGCATTGGCGTCCATCTCTTGGCGGCTCTTTCAAGTGCATCTACTATCTTTACCCTGTCCCTGTATCGGGCTGTAACAAACTTGAGGAATGGATTCGTTGAGAATAACTCTCGCAGAAACTGGAGGGAATGCGTAAATTTGCTATCTGAAGACGCACACATGAAAACAGCAGTGATCGCAAACAAGGCAGCCTACCGAACTATGGTGCGGCTAGCGTGGGCTGGATTCGGGGAGGCCAACCTCAGGAAAATTGTTCTGCTTACATTTTTTGAATGCATACTGGAGGTTTTGCGAGTAGGCTAACATCTGTTCGTGCTCCAGTAGTCCGATAAGCTTTGACCTCTCCTTTCCAGTTTGCACCAACGAATGCCCGTAATCGGCAAAATTTTCCTCCTTCTGGATTATATTGATCCCATAGGACAAGGGTGTCTGAGATGATGCGGCATCGTTTGTATCTGAAAACATATGTGGACAAATCTAGCTAATCACTGCCAAGGTAAATCAAGCCGTTGCGCCTCCGTTAAGAGCATGATCGGCATAATGTAGAACTGCACGGAAAAAGTGCCTCAACGGCAAGGATACTTTTTGAGCAAATTCGCTCTAGGTAGCTTACAAGTTCCAGTCGTCTTCCACTCCATCTGCCAAGAATGGGGCGAAATTCCTTGCTTGCGGTCAGCTACCACGGCGCATATCGCTGCTTCATTCCATATGCTCAGAAGGCCTACAAGGACTAATTTAAAAGCAACAGCGGTTGCTAGGCGCAGAAAGTTTGACCTACTCGCCATTGTCGTGGTTTCTAAATGCGACAGTTCTGTGGCCGAAATGTCTTGGCTGACCGCAGAGAGCTACCTGGACAGGACCTGAGTTTCGAATTGAAGATAGCCGATTCAAAATGCTGGCACAAGCTTATTTAATAAGCTAGAACGTTGACTAGAATGACTTAAGCTCAGATGAACTGGCGTAGGTTAGCTGCATTGGCCCGTCGATGGTGTTGTCGGCTGCGCCGGTGTGAGGCTCAGTGATCACGGACGGTTGTCTACGATTAAGCACCGCAGACTCACATATGCAGCTGCAAAATGAGAAAAGTGAAGAGCAGAGACAAATGCAAAAAACAATCACGCAAATGACTGGGACTTTCCGGCTTGAAAACCTCGACTGCAAGCCGTGGCGGGCCAGCTCGCTGGCCACCCTGCGAATGGCGGGTGGGTGACCCCCAAACGGCTGGCAGCTACATGTGCGCGTTGCTCGCCTAGTGGATCAAAATAATAGATCATAAGTTCAGAGTTTGCCTTAAATATCATAACTGTTTTGATTAGGGTTCCGGCCGTCCGAAAGAATAACTCTAGCCTCAAGGAAGGCAACTGTCTTGCCCGGTGGGCGAGCCCGGCGCGTCTCGCAATCACGCAAAAAAGAGCAGCAACGCTCGAGACCCACAGATGAATTCACCTTTAAAAGCACATTTTTCAATGTTAGCTTTTCTACCGGCCATAAGGGCCGAAAGTAAACGCCCGGCACTTCCCCTAGCCATCGAGTATCGGTCGAGACCGGTGGTCCATTTTGCCGGCGCGAAAGACGGGGCTGATACAACATGGAAGGTTCCGAACCTTAGTGGAATAAATTTGTAGGAGTGATTGTGGGAGTTAAACTTTCGATGCTTTGTTGCTGCTCCGCTTGTACCACATTACGAACTGACTGCTCTGACTGCTCTAAACAACCGTAGTGCAGTGGAGAATATACTGAAACACGCCGTTTTCTTGTTAACTCTTTGTATATTGTAGTCTCATGGTGACCAACATACGAAGGGAGTCCTAGCACTTCTGTTTGTCTCTTGACAAGCTGCGGCGAGCTTTTTACTCAATTGTCCTTCTGATACCCGCAGTTGGCGTACCTCATATGGCAAACGGTTAGCTGGTGGACCTGCCATATACACTGCACTGCCCCTCTTCCTGCTTACGTGTTGTCGCACAATACATGTTGATGAATGAAGCATACATGATCCAAGCCTACCGATGGAGCCCAGAGACAACTTTTCGGACGCCATAAATGAATATATTGATGAATGCTCCCGCACGGCAAAGGGTTCCAAACGGCGAAGTGTGAGAACAAACCTCCCAAGCAAACGAATCTTCATCATTGCAACAAGTGTTGAGGGGACCGGGGGGCGTCCAATGTTTTGTACTATTCGAGAAAGTCTTTAAACTCGAAACCCTGCATGTTCTACCTCATTCAGGAGCGCCCGCTATCTACGTGCGCCTGCCAAGAACTTACCATCCACGGAGGACCTGTAAAGCAGTGGGCACTCTACATGGTGCGTTGAAGCAAACTGCTTTCTAGAGACGCAGCGTCCCGCCCAAACTCGAATAGCGCAATCCGTGTCAGGTAGTAACTCTTCTTATGGTTTCAACCGTCTCTCAGGTATGATAAACCTCTGGCAATGAACATCTGACTAGATGGAAGCCTAGTCATTCCGCAGATGACCCTTGCTAAATCCCACATAGATCAGCTATCACAAGGACTGAATCTGCTTTCTGAAGTTCTTGTAATTCAGGTGTTTGCCGCCATGAAGGTTATGTGCATGTGCTACGACTAGGCTGAAATGCCTTGTGGCAAAGCCGCTCTTCTGAGAACGGCTGCCGAAACAAAATATTGGTAGCTCTAGTGCCTGTATTGGTTGCGTCGAGGCCGATTACCTTTCGATGCTCTAAAATGTTCATTCTCCAAGGGCTCGGTGAGTCCCTTGTTGGCCCTTTTCTACACGCTGTAAGAGGCATTACTGAGAATTCCAGCCTCATGTATGCAAAAAGCGGGCACTCGGTGAGCTGTTCATGCAGCTCACGTGGAGCCATGCTGTGCGGGCCCCCCGTGAACAAATCGTGTTCTTAACATTCTACAGAAACGATTCGTATCCAGCTGTCGTTGACCAGCGAAGCCGCAACAGGCTTAGCCGAAACAACACGTGACCCCCAGTTCAGTAGCCTCAAGTCAGCGGTAACCAGCGGCACCGCCCACCCTATTCGCGAGGTCCTGGAGACGACCGTTGAACAATAGCAACTGCCGTTTACTTCTGTTGACAGACACAAGATTATGCGTAAAGGAAGATACACAGACTCTGCCACTGAAGCAATACCAGCAGTCGGCGCAGCTGCTAGGTGCAAGCCCGCTCCCATCACCTCAGGGCAACACCAGCTGCAGCCTAGGGGGCTTTTGGCGGCTGGTATTCTGGATTCTTTCGGAGAAGGACAATGCCTTCAAGGACGCGAGCGACTGGCAGATCTGAAGGAATAACACAGACACTTCGGAATCCCCAAGCACGTCAGCAACTTAAGCGCAACCCATTCAGTAACGGTACAACCGAGAGCAGCGAAAACTGCACTGGAAAATTTAGCGGCAAAACTACTGTTGTGGAGGTGCGAATGCTCAGTTGAAGCAACAGAGAAGATCCAGAGTGCAACTACCACTGAATAGACTTACATTCGTCTGTTGCCAGTTCGGCTCTTTCACTGAAATTAAGCAGGACCGGAGAGGTGTGGGTCTGAAATCCTGTGATGGTCTTCGGCTGCCTGCCCACCTGCGCTACGACGTCGACTGCCTCCCCGACGCGGACCGGGACCGGAAGCATTTTAAGGTCTTCGTCTCCCTCCATTGAGGGGGTCTTGCCGTTCGTTGTGCCATCCGTTTCCATGGCAGCGTCTGTGCCTGCTGCTCCCGCCTCACCATTTGACAGAGTGGCGGCATCGGCCTTTGAAGCAGCGTCGGGCTTTCCATCTGAACCTGCCCCTTCCACGCGCTCGGCAACCATCACTAACCACCTTGGCTGTACTGCAGGGAACAAGTAGTAGAGCATGAAGTGAAACTTCCTGAAGGAGCAGTCACAAGCGGGCAGAAATGAACCGTATTCTGTGCATAGGCCTTCAAATATCCATGAAACGACGCGCCATCATATATGCAGATTGTTGCCCAGCCCTCACTTATTTCCGACAGCAGACTCGAGAGCATTCCGCAACTGATTACTGGCGCACACACAGACTGCTGCTGTGATAGAATAGGGATATTGGGCATATAGACATCCGAAATGGTGCTAACCCCAGAATTGTGTGGCGCATGAGGAGTGCCGAGTATGAGACAATCGCTAATGCGCCCAGAGCAACGCGGCATATGACCTGCCGGTCAGAGTGCAGAGCGCCCAGGTGCAACAGACCCTTTCCCAAATACAGCAGCCCTTGTGAAAGCCGCACCTGCAGCAACAAACCAAAGCTCACAGAAGTGCCTTCATAAGGTGCACCTCCATACCTAAGCCGCAGGCTCTCCTTGGCATTTTCGTCTCAAGTAATCCCACCACAAATAACGCGCTAGGGTCCTTCCCGTAGTAAGATGCCAGTTGACGAAGGAGCGAAGCAATGCGGGAGTGATTCGTCCCTGAGGCGCGAACACAAATTATAAACACCAGGAGTTTCACCAGCTGCCACCATTCCCGAAGACTGCACTTCTTCAGCCCCTGTAATGTTCTTTCTCCCACAAGTCACATGCTGAAATTTGCAACGTTCAGTTATTCAAACCTACCGGCTCCAAGGACACCCATTGCAAAGATGGCATTGAGGGCTGTGTCAGGGTCAGCGTCGTGAGAAAGTTTGCTCAACAAGTCTATGAGCTGGGGCTTGGGGTTGCTGGGGTGCTGCAGCGCGACCGCTAACGGCACTGCGCGTTTCATGTGCGCATCGGCATACTGAAGAATGTGGTCCTGCAATTAAATATACCACTTGCGCAAAAACAGTCTACGCATATGTCTACGCATATGACTGCAAAGAAGCTTTATGCAGGAACAAAAGACCGGCACACAGAAGTTAGATGGCCACTTTCCAATGAACCTCTACTAGGGAGTCTAGAACCTTGCCGCATGACACACATAGAGTCTCAAAGCCATTTCCGCGCCGGTCTCTTCAGCAAAAGCAATAAGGGCAATATTTAGAACGGCAACAGCCTGGTCCGTATCGTCCGGGTGGTCCTCGTCATCGTCGGCCGTAGTGGTGTTTGTTGTATTTGTTGCTCCAGATGTAGAGTCACTGGCTGAGCTGCCTGGAGCCGCTCTAACCCCTGAGGATGCAGAGGTGCCGTCAGTCCTTGTTGCTGCGCCGTCTGCACCGACGGCATTATCTGCTGTAGCTTCCTCTGGATTCTGCTCGCTGTTAAGCTCCTTTTGTTTCTGTTTCCAGTAGCCCTCGGGGCGGCATTCGGCACACACACCAAGCATACGTTGCACCTTTAGCACATCGCCGCTACCAGCAGCTGCCAGGCCCTCGATAATCCGGGTGGCAGCAGCAGAGAACGCTGCGTGCGGCAATGCAGCAACGGCGCACAAAGCCCCCTCTGCAGCATCTCGCGTTCCAAGGAATACCAGGCCCAGACCAACTGACAGGAAGTGCCCCAGTGGGGAATCCATCGCCTCTGCAGCGCATAAACCATTAGAAACGTGTCCACACGGACACATCACACGTCACGCCGGAGCGGCAGGGCACAAGTATTGACAACTGAGAACGACATTACTGGACTGGGATTGCTCAGTGACGGTGGGTGCCAACGTCCACTTAACGACGGAAATAAACCTCTACAAATATCTGCATATATAGGGCGGGAAATCTGTGTTCCTTCACTTAGCGCATCAAGTAGTACGAGCACTCACTCGCCGTAGTGCAGCGGTCCATAAGAGCAGTGAGGATAGCCTCAGCAGCATCCGCCGAGGCGCTCCCGACGAAGCAGAGACCCAATGAAAGGGAAGCAAATGCAGAGCACTCCAGCGGCAGCGAGCCATCAAGCTGAGACGCAAATTGATCGTACGAACGTCCCTTCAGGAAGTCTTCAGGCAGCAGCGAATGTGATACAAAAAAACTCAAGCACCGATCAGCCATCATCTGTGCTTCTTGCTCGGGCACAAGTATACATCAGATGCCGCTGAAACGGAGAAACTCGGCACCCCGCAAGAGGCCAGGAGGAAACTCACAATCGCTAGCGTCAAGAGTTCCAGAACGTCCTCCCTGCAACTTCCTGCATAAGCGCAGCCCAAGCCAATAGCAGCCGCAGCCTTGAGGAGGGGTGTTTCAGCTGTCATCTCTGTTGCCTCTAGGTGGTCCTTTAGCAGCGCCAAGGCAGCATCGCACTCGTGACGAACATTGCAACTGGCCACTCCGAATCCTGCAGGCCACACCAGCGCATACACAAGTGATATTCTGCAAAGCCCAATAACGGCGAAATACAAACATGATCTTTACGAAACTCCATCTGCTATCAAATAATTCCAAACAGCACTGTTGAGAGGCAACGGCAGCAACAGTCATCAAGGTGGAGACTGAGCCCCGTCGTCTGAGTAAAGATTTGCTTTCCCAGAACAATGTCTACATGCAACCGGAGTTGACAGCTCTCAATCCCTGGATTTAAAGGAAGAATGTGATTCACGCACCGAGCAGAGCTCCGGCTTTGATGTTTGCATCGCTGCTGTACTGGTGCTTATCGAGCTGTTGCAACGCCTCGTCCACGTTCCAGAGGCAGAGAGCTCCAAGGGAGGCCGTAGTGGAGAGCAACCCGCGGTCTTTGTTCTTATACAGCCACACGTTTCCTGAACATATGTGAGGTTTAACCGAAAGGGCACAGATTGACACAAAGATATCTGGAGTTGATGCGCTGGTTTCACTGGTTAGAAGATACTATCTGTTTACCACTACAACGGTAAGCGATAAGTGAAAAGACCCCGCAGCCACTAGAATTCCAACGTCAGAAACTCGACACAGTAAGGTGTCAATGAGACCCCACGAATACAAACGTCAGGGTTGTGTCAAGACCACTGAGGTGAAACAGAGGCACGAATTCAAAAGCTCCGTGATAGTGAATACCCTGAGCTTCGTGCACTGCATTCAAAAGAACAGCGCATGCTGAGTTGCAAAAGATCTGCTGAAAAAATATATAATGCCGAAATGTAGGTACTGCTCTTGCTAGTATGGTCTGCATGTGATGACGCGCTGACCGTCAGTCGTCATAAGCTTGTCTGTCCCGAAGCCGCAGTTGACGAAGGCATTCACAAAAGAGGAAGCGAGGTTCTGTTGCGCGCTTTCCAGACCAGCAAGACGCGCTCGCCTGCCTTGAGGATCCTCCAGATGTCTCTTGAAAACATCCTCAGGCTCCTTGGGTTCTAGCACGTCCAGCTCCTTCGCCAAGAAGCGGAAGAATGGAGAAGTCTTGCTGCCGCTGGCAAGTCTTTGAAGCTTTTCATCTTCAAATTCCACGTCTACCCGCTGTCGACACAGCAACAGCGCGAGTTGTTGCTGCACCAGGGGGTCACTACAGTCCTTTACTACCTTGTCTACGAGAGCACGATCCCCCAGTCTCAGCGCCACGCGCATGGCATCGAAGTGTTGCTGCTGCTTCATGAGAGCGTCAAAAGCAACCATTTGCACCTTCAAAGCCTCCTCAGGACTTGCTGCGTAGTTGGAGAGACTCAAGAGATACGCTACCACCCGCTGGTAGTTGTTTGCATCCAGGAGAGACAAGAGAGATTGAGGTCGTTCCACCTCTGTCAGCAGGTCTATCGCATCTACTTCAGCATTGTGCTGCATGTAATAGGGTACAATCTCTTCCACTAACTGCAGTAGCTGCTCCACCGTTGGCAGAGGGACTGTAACAGAGGCAAGCCCAGTGGTGGGTTTGTCCGCTGCTGCTGCTTCCTTGGCTACACCATTCGCTGTTGGAGTTGCTGCTCCGGGGCCATCCACTTCAACAGCGTCTGTGGTTACAGCAGTTTTGCTGTCGTCTGTTTCCGCGGCTGTGCTCTGTTGCTCGGCACCTGGCAGGGCCTCTTGCTGCTGCAATTCTGCAAAGGCCCCCGCAATTTGGCCAGAGAGGTTTCTCAAGTACTCGTAACCCCAGGAAGTGACATCCTTGCACTCCGCCTGCACACCACAAATATGGTGCAGCAGGATTAACAGCAGCCTCAACCCACGTGTGACGCCCAGCAACGCTGACAGCTGGCCTCCGCATGCAACAGAGTTAGGAACTCAACACAGTCTTAATCCCCAGCTGAGCAATATCTGGTATTGCTGTTCAGGTTGCTGTTGGGACTCTGCTCATCCATTTTGCGGACCTCCAAACAAAAGTGCAAGGATAAGCGCCGCGAGTCCCCTGAAGTTGTGCAGGTCACCGACAGTACCATCGCAAAGTCGCGCTGGAAACAGCACACACAACAACACATGTTAAACAGATATGTAGGCATCTCTGATGTACTAGCAGCAGCTATTGCTACTGCTGTAATAGCGGCAGTAGCAGCAGACTGAATGCATGGCGACAGTGAAACAGTCTCAAAGGCGGAACAACTTTTCACCGTCACAATGCATTCACGGCCAGCCTGCACTCTCCGCAGATGACATTACACCAACCTTGAGAGTTGTTTTGTCGGGAAGTTGGTTGTAGCGGTCGACGAGTCTATCCATGTGGGGCCTGAGGAACTTGAGCGGTTTGGGCACACTAGTCATCGAGGAAGTTGCCGCCTTGAGCTCGCGGGAGAGTGTCTCCAGTGCCAGAGCCACGATATCTGAAGCAGACAACATGCAGGGTGAAGGCACCCCGCAACAGTGAACCGGATATACGGTGCAACAGTCCCTAAGCATTTCCTGGAGTATAAGGGATGAAGCAGAACGAGATTTGTCCTGCTGCAGCTTGTCCTGCTGCAGCAGCAACAGGGGACAGACAACAGAAGGAAAGCCTCACCGAGGTCACTATCGCATGTCCTCTCCACAAGAAGTTCGATGTTCTCTTGAATCTTCTTGTCATCTTCAGTCTGCACGTAGCGCAGCGGCGTCAGTCGTGCGCATTCCGGGACAGCTCGGGCACCAACCACAAACGACGAAGGTGCAAAGTTGAGGAATGGAAGAATTAGGGATCTACAGCTCAGGACGGCCGCAAGCAGAGACTACGCTACTCGTCAAGTAATTCCAACCAGGCAGCAGCAACACAAAGCAGAGACATAAAGAATGTCTGCGATATAGACCAGTAAAGTACGCACGGAGATAGGCCGCCACATCTAATGCATATGCAAATGGAGGCAGACGGAAGAGGACACTTATTGACCGGAGTAAGAATGGGCGCATACGGATAAGCAAATAAATAAAAACACGGGAACCCACCATCTCCTCTACCCCCTTGGCTTTCTTTCCCGTCTTCTTTGGGTCGTTCGACGGGACTGCAACCTTCACGGCCTGATGCAGTCGACCAGTACGCAGCAGTACCAACTGTGGCAAAGCTAGGAGAGACTAGAGAAGCAACCTTACATCTGGACGGACGGACGAGTGTTACAACTTCGAGTGTGCGTGTCCTACCCACCGACGCTAACCACAATGCTGCACACGATGGACCGTACCTCCCTATTGTCGCTTTCGCCCGCCATTTTCGGTTATGCGGCTCCCCAACCGCACAGACGAAATATTTCAATAGAAAACTGAAGAATAAGGAGTGGATGACGACGGCCCGTAAGGACCTGCAGGCAACATAGGAAACGGCAGGGGCAGAGAAGTAATGTGAGGCGGCAAGAGGGGATGCGGAGCTGGATCTGGGCCATTCAGATGTGACAATATGCTGCTGTCTCTCAATCTAGCCTTTAGAGTGTCTGCTGCCTGTAACGTGGAGGGCGACACAGGGACACGCAAGACTCGCCTACCTAGACCCTCGCCCTACCCTCTGCTGACCGCGGGTACGGTTGAGGCCAACAGCCCAAGAAGACCCCTAGTATGCCAGTCAGCAACACAATCCCGTGCTGTTTGCAACAGTGAGACAGGCGGTCCCTCAGCTCCTGGCTGGGGTGCAGCCTCCGGTGCATGCGGCTATCGCCCGGCAACGCAGGGAGAGCTGTGGCTTCGCAGACAGAGGTACAGCTACGCGGCTGTTGTTGCTGTCTCTCTGTCGGGAATTAGTGGGAAAGACGAATCTCTATAGCGTAGGAAATATGGGGGAAGTGGTTTTCTGTTGCGGCTGGATTTGGTAGTGCTGGGAACTAGGTCAGCCACGGTACTCACAGAAAAAGTATAATATAGCAACGGAAAAATACGTTTCGGTAGAAGCGAGCTTAATTACCTAAGTGTCTGGCAAATGGCCTGTCCCAAATACTAACAAGGCACTGGTGGCAGTATTTGGGGCTGGATGAGCCCGTGCGCATACCTTGAAAATCAGCTAGGATAAAATGCTAGTTCTATATATATCTTGAAAACCGCCGAGTCTTTGGGGTAACGTTTTCGTGATTCTTATAAATGTTTTTTGTAAAACTAGGTTTTCATGTATGATCTGCACCTATACGGGGTCGGCACTAGCTGGATGGAGCGCTGAGTATGCAAGCTGTTCGCTGCATTTCTCGAGTTTCTAGCGCACATTTTCTTTCCTTTTTAGAAATGCAGATTGCAATATAATCTCATTCGCATGCGAGCCAACTTTGCCCGAGGCACCGCTTAGGGAAATTTCGCATTAGTGATGCGTCGAAGTTGTATAATGTCTTCGCCGGAGTTTAGCATGGTCTAAGTTGGTACGTGCAATTCTACTTGTGTGCGGTCTGGGTACTGAAGGCCAAGTATGTGTTTAACAATTGCCTACAGTGTTAGTGCACACATCAAAGTGACGACTTGCACACCTGTCTGTGGGGTTCCCTTGCAGCACGAGTTGCAGCAAGGAGCTTTGCAACTTATGATAGGCGGTCTCCACACCACTCCAACCCCAGGCAGATGGCCCGCTGTGCTCACGACGCCTGGACACTCAAGGGCGAGGGGGCTTGGGAAGGGGGGAGGAATGAATTCCTGATAGTGCACTTATCCTAGTGCGACGAGGAGTCCACGGCTTGGGCTTCTTCCGAGCGGACGCCAGATCCTGCTGAAGGTCCACTATCGTTGAGTATGAGTTCAGCGAAGATAATGCATAAAACGTGTCTCTGGTTTTCCCGAAACTCGAGATATGGAGGGGCCCGCGATACAAGGGCAGCAGCGGAATCCTCTGCTCTTCGGAAGATGCATTTGCGTCATCAAATGAGCCTGAATAGCTACTTTTAGTATTGGCCCCTTCTTTGACACAAGGTATGGCAAGACTATTATCTCATTGCAACATGCGCTGCGGCGCACATTTATTCCCAGGTCGGCAAGGAAACGTGCCATGGAAGAACTAAGAAACCTGGACCGAGGGGAGCTACCGGCAGAGCACTTTATCGCTACGTATGAGTCCATGCTGAGCATAAGTCCAACAGCGGGCTCGATGGTTCGTACCAGACCTGCCAGCTGGAGGCAGGCCTGGTACGAACCGTCGAGTCCGCCGTTGGACTACGGGTAGGTAATCAGTAGCTGAGTGGGCCAGAGAGAGAAAGACAAGGGGTGAAATGGCGAATCTCGCCGCAGAGTTGGTGTGTTACGCAAACAAAGGGTGAATACACCATTTCCACTTCTGTAGCTAAGAAGGACGAAAACATGCATGAAAGCGAGACTGGCGCACACTCTAGAGAAATTCGGTTTTGGGTGGCAGCCTTGCCAAAGTTAAAGAAGCGACACCAGACGGCAGCTTGAGAATCCAACACTCAAAAAGCTGGGGCGGCACACCGAGTGCTATATGTGCTGAGGTTTCCTTTAGGTGAGAAAAGCAAAGTAACATGAGAAGCAAAACTTGGAGCACCGTCACCAGGGGAAAACGCGAAACTAGAGTAACGCCTTGTTTGCCGAGCAACGTGCAGCGCTGCGACGCAAACAAAAGCGGACTCCAGCACCTCCAGGTCCTGCTCAAGTTAACCCAATGCTGATCGAAGTTCATATGGGTGTTCCAGAGCTGTAAACACCGCTTTATACGAGGATATGATATCTGCAGCTATGGCGTAGATGGGCATCTTTATTCGATGGAGCAGCCTCTACCTCTCCGCATCGCTGGTGGCAGAAGGGAGTCATGGATCAGCAAAAGTATGGGTGTAGGATTCAGGCATAATTACGAAATGTATCAGATTGCCATGTGAGTCAACTCAAGAATTGATTGAACTGCCATGCTACGGGGCATCCGCGTTGAGCCAGTTCACGAAGGCTGCTAACCACGAGATAATCCTAGGCGTTTCGCTGGAACCGCTGTCCTGCTCTCCTGCAGCCTCGATAAGTCAATATTAGGACCTACTTGGGGCCAAGCAATGACAGAATGTACTTTTTAGCACCCCGAGCGACAATCCACGATAAGAGGAGTTGAATTAGTATACCAGGCTCAAAGCGGCGAGGAGACTCCAACGCAGTGTAGGAGAGCCGCAGGAAATGATTGGGAATTGCATACCCCCCCACACGACATTATGATGACAGTTCTAAAGGGTGCGATACTGTTCGCACTTCACAAACTGAAGAAGTTGACATATCTTGTTGTGCTAGTCCTCAGACGCATTAAATGCTTAATGTAGTGGGGCTTCCAGCAGGCTAGCGACCCGCTAGACGCCAAAAACACTACGCTGAACACTCTTCTTTCGTACTCCCAAGCTGTCGGTGCTGGCAAAAAGAAAATAAGCGTCGATCAGCCCATATGCATGGACTTCAAGACTCTCAATACAGTGACGGCGAAGCGAAAGTTTCCGATCGTTCAAATCGATGAGATACCCATTTACGTGCAAGATACAGCTTCATTTCCATCCGCTATGTTCTCTGACGCATTTTTGCAGATCCCAATACATCATGACGAGAGGGACAACTCTGCATTCCATTGCAGCGCTTCTAAACTAGAGTGGACGTGTATGTAGTTTGGGTTCTTTTTTGCGTTTGCCGAACTGCACCAAAAGGGTTTCTGGAGCCGAATCAACTAGTTGTGGACAGCTATCTGAATGAAATATCTGCTTTTGTCGAGCTGGGATTTCCAGGAGCGCTGGCAGCGCCTGCAATTTACTCTATAAGAGGCAGCGGGGCCGACAGACGGCAATTTGCTCGCTTTTCATTCACGCTGTTAGCTGTTATGGTTTCGTGTCTCTTGAGCAGGAACTGAAACAGATACAGCTGGGACTGAGGCACTGCAGAAGCGGTGGCTTCCCCTTCTCACTCGCAGGGGCCCGGGCGCTGCTGCTCAGCAGACGCGGGGGCCCCACGCTGTAGGGACTGCTGCTGCTGCTGCTCCGGCTGGTGCAGCTGCTGAGCTTAAGGAGGTCCCACCACCCTCTCAGGTCCCCCTCTAGGCCTCCAATGCATGCTGCTGTGCGCGCTCTGCTGTCTGCTGGGGTGTCTCCTTAGCGTCCTGTGTCTCAATACACGCGGATGGGATACCTGAGAACATCTGTCCAGATGTTCTCAGGCATCCCATCGTTCTACAGCTCGCACCGTACTACAGCGACAGCAGAGAATTGGCAGAATTACTCATTAAACATGCGTAACGGAGGTGTGCACTGTTGAAAGAAACTTATACCGGCAGGCACGAGAAGTTCAGTCTCACATTCTGACGCGAATTCATGACGCGCGTTTGCCTCCCTAAGAACATGACTATCGTAAACGAACCGGATGCAGGCAGTCAAACTGACGTACAAAAGGCTCTGTTGCGGCATTTGCTACTCTATTATCAGCAAAACTCATCGAAATTGCTTGATGCCCTTCCTTTTAGAGCTCCAGCCGGTCTTCAGGTGCAAGGAAAGCCCTTGTTCTTATCCAACGATGGTTGCGAGCTTAAGATAAGAGCTTTGAAAGGGCACGCGACCTTTCCAGTCATTAGGCTGCCTGCCCGTGCCGGCAGATGTAGCGTCGCCTGCTTACAGTTAGTGCAGGAGCCTTCACTTGACCTTGATAGCTTGCGTTTAAACAACTGAAAACGTTCTATAAGCTTATTCAGAGGTAAAGCATGCAGTAGAGGAAGCTTCACTGAAGCTTCCTTGTGTGCACGCCTGAGGCTGGCGTGCCTGACCAGCCACAGCGAGGTGCGCTGCAACCCCACTTCAGACTGCCTCCCCTCCGCAACATCCAGGCCCTGACCTCAACGTCCAGGACGCCTAATGACAGGGGAAGGTCATCTGCTGCTGTTGGGAAACTCCTAGTATAAGTCTTTACCTACATTGCAGCTCTCTTCTGCCCTTCATCAAGGTCAGAGAGCAACCGTTATACCAGAAGGGGAAGGACGGTCGAGGGGAGGCGGCCTGGCACGAGTTGCAACGAACCCCAATGCATCTCGTGGTGCAGCGGAACCCCACATGCATATACAACCAAGCCGCCTCTGATGCATGCACTATCTGTAACGCTAGTCCTCTGGCCGTTGTCTGACCAGAGACGAGCCGCAATGATGGCTTAAAGCAAGAGTTTCCCAAAAGCAACTGACCTCCTTCCCCAGTACCTAGGCATCCTGGGCGTTGAGCTCAGGGCCAGGGTGTCGCGGGGAGGAGGCAGCCAGAAATGGGGTNAGCTTCAGGGAAGCTTCTTTTGTTGCGTGCTTTGCCTCTGAACGAACTTGTAGAACGGTTGCAAGCGCTTGCACGCAGCAGGCCAAAACCGTCGAAAGGTTCCTGACCTAACTCTGCGCTAACTCATGCTACACTATCACTATCGACTGTTGTTGAACACTTACTTGGCCCTCAGTAGTCAGCCTACACAAATGCGGAGATTGAAGGACGCGCTTCACATAGGCCATGCTGCACCAGGCATCCTTGGCACAGCGGCATAAATGGGGAAAGGAATCCGCCTGCTGTGAGTTGCACCGGACCTTGCTGCAACTCCCGCTACAAGGCACCCCCACAAACAGGAGTGCCCCAACCGCAACTTGATGCATGAACCACCACTTTAGACAATTGTTAAACACTTACTTGGCATGCAGTAGACAGCCTTTGCAGGAGTGAAAGAATACGTACAGGTGAGAGACACAACACATCCGCGGGCAGCCAACGAAGAGCTCCGACTCCTACATTATATGTCGAAAGGAACGGAGAGGCACTGCGCCTAGAAGCAAAACCAAGGACCTATGAGGAGAATTTGTAGTAATACGAGTAAAGATTTGCTTTATACGTGCATGTTTATAGTAACCCGAATAATTAGATTCACAGCTCTGCATTGAACAGGGCTTCAACGGGATTCTCGGCCTCCTCCCGCATCCAAAGGCTGCCGAGCGCTCAAGTGGTGGATGCCAAACGTTGATTGCATACAATTTAAACCTCAGTCTTATTTTTGCCGTTTGGCACTCTATGTTTCCGCTTCAGAGTGACATCTACAGCGGCACAATCGGTAATGGGCATGCAAGCTGCAACGCACACTGCCAGGCGCTGCGCTCTCTTTACACTGTCGGGACCGCTTGACCTGTTGATAAAGTTATCCGTCCTGCTTCCTATAACGAAGGTCAAACATTCAAGAGCTCCATATCGGTAAGCGAGCACCTGCAGGAGCCCACGCTGTAGGCAACAGAGCCTTGTGACGTGCTCCCAGCCGAACGGCATCTAAGCTTTCTTTCTAGCCTTGAAGTCATACGCGTATAAATTTTCTCGCCCACAACCCGACAACTGCACTAAGCTCTAGCAACGGTGGCTATAGCAGACAGTGGAAACGTACCCCCTTTGCAGCATCGAGCTGCAGGTGAAGCAGCAGCAAGCACTCCAGCAGCTCCGCCATGGCGTACGCCATGGCTTCTCCGCTAGGCTGGGCACGGTATGGGAGACTCCAGGCAACCAGGGGTCCTTCGGAACAGCGCTCGCTAGGTGTCTCATTGCAACCGCCAGTCCAGCCGGCAGCATCGGAGCCGGTGGCTTGGCAGTCGCAGCAGCAGCAGCAAAAGCAGCAGCAACAGCACATCCTGAGGGGGGATCTGTTGCTTCGTCTGCCCTGTCGTCGCAGCATTTACCGCTGCCTTAGTGGTTCCAGCCGCTGCAGTTCTACAGCATCGACAGCAGTAAACGCGTCTCCATATTCCGTAGCCGCGCGCTTGCAAGCAGAAGGAGCAGCAGCAGCTTCGAAGCAACCGTACACGTTCAAGTCTGCAGCCCATCGGGATATGGTGGTCCTTTCAACCCGTCTGCACCTGCAGGATTTGCTTTTGGAGCGCTTTGGCCGTCTGAGGACAGCAGAGTGCTGCCTGCTCCGTAAAGCCTCTGGCACCCCACGACTGCTACTGCTTTGGGCGGACCTGCTGGTGCAACAAAATCCAGAACATCCTCCTGCAGATGCCTATTTCGTTCCACCGGAGCTCTACCGCTTGCCAGAGGTCAAAGTAAGTAGTACCAGAGGCAGCAACCGCACTAGCAGCAGCCGTCAGAGGCGCCCCGAGCGAACTGCAATACATCTACGTATGTGACAGGTGTGCGGGTAGACAATGGCTTCTAGCTGCATTGGTTGGTTTTGCTGGTGTCGCTGCTGACTCAGGCTTTGCTGCAGCGGGATAGGGAGTTACGGTGGCTAATGCAACGGATCGATCCGAAAGGTGTTGGGGGTCCGTGTGACTCCTCAAGAGACTGCGTCCCCGTGCCGCACTTCCCTTCGGTGCTGCAGCAAGAAGTGCCACGCTATCCATACGAACCGTACCAACTGGAGCTGCTCAGAGACACTTACGGCCTGCTCAAATGGCCCTTCAGACCGATCCGAGGCGCAGCGAGGGCAGCAGCAGCAGCAGCAGCAGCGGCCGTTGCTTCGGGTAATGCCGAGGTGCCGCACATTCCACAGGCGGAGCCCACATCTGAAGGAGTCGCTGCAGCAGTTGCTGCTGTTGCCGCCGCAGTAGATCGCGGAGACGTGCGGCGTGCCAACAACGAAGTTCGTACGCGCTGCTCCACCGATGCAATCTATGCACCGGACGAGACAGAAACAGGTGCATATGTGTGGTAGTGTGCTTGGGTGGTTCACGAACAGCACCTCAAGCCGCCGCTGCAGATTGTTTTGGTTTTTGCTTCATTTTACCTGACTATTTTTTCGTGACTTCTCTGTTAATCTAGTTGTACACAGGGAACAACAACAGCAGTCACCAAACTGCGGCTTTCTCCCAGCAACTGGGGCAAATCTGGTCGGCCCCGTACGCAGCTTTGCGAACGGGTCACCTAGCTAGCATTTTCTAAAGAACTCCGGGTGTGGGAACCCCTGCCGCAGAGAGCTAGACACACTGTTTGCCACTGCATCGAATCCACTAACTAGCCACCCTGCTGCGGTTTGCCCACTCCTAGATGCAGCCTACAGCAGCCTACAGCGGGCCCAATACTGAAAGCGGAGGGGAGAGCAACGCTGTCTCTTTTCATGCTACTTTCGGCATACATCCCTAATGGCTAGGCAGACTAGTACTTAAACCCGTGTACCCAGAGAATTTTGGGTATGGGCGTTGTTTTTGTCTTTTTCATGTTGACACCTCGGTCTTCAAAAGCCTTTGCAATAAATAGCCCCAAACACGAACCGCCACTGCCTCCGTTTGTCTCCTGCTGTCGCCCGCTCAATACGCTGGGGCAGCTTTTCTACGTATGGAGCAGCCGGCACACAGAACAAAACACCCCAGACTATAAACTCTGCTTCTTAAAGACAACCCAACTGTATCCCAGCTAAGTGCATCGCCTAAATGCGACGCAACGTCCTCAACCCGCTGCAACTACTATACTGCTGCTGCAGCTCCTGCAGGACTTGCAGCTGCAGCTTTCATCGAGAGATAGCAGCTACCACAACATTAGCTGCTGCTATTGGTGGGGTGCAGGCAGCCCCTGTGTATCCTGCGGTGAACGTTTCGGAACAAAACATATTTAGTCCTGCGAACAAACGCGCACACGATACACAGCAGGCATCACTGCACGGGCGTGGCCCCTGCTGGTCTGCAGTAGTCAGCTGAATTCCCCTGTCCTGGCTTATGTCTGGTTCTTCTCCGTCCCTATCGCCCTGCCGCACACTCCCTATCTTTCCTAGCTCTCTCCAACACCCTCCCCACCGTCTCCGTTGCTGCCACTCTGCTTCTGTCGTCCGCTATGCAATGCTCTTAGTCTGCTGGAGTGTGTAGGATTCCTCGGTATTGATAGACTAACCATGAATGCTGAACCCGTAAGGGGCGATATCTTGCGGGTCTCAAGAGCCCCTTGCGAGGTTCCTCTAAAGGCCCCTCGGCCACCTCTGAAGTTAAACCCCGACGTTACAACACTAGAGGACTCCTGGCCCCTGTAGAACCCGTCTCTGCCTGCATCCCCCCCGCCCCGGATCCATCCGCGGCCTCTGCCTCTGCCCCTGCCACCCCCTGCAAGACAGAGACAGCACACGCAGAAGTAAAGGAACTGGAGCCTAAGAAACGAGCTGCAAACGCCTACAAATACGCTCAAACGCAAACATGAAGCCTCTGAGTGCCAGCTGATACCGCACCTCGGACAGCATTGGACTCTTCATCTCTGTTGTAGCCAGGTCTCCCGAGGTTCTGAATGAGCAGACTCGTGCGCATGCCCAAGTTGCGAGTCTTATCCGTCACCAACTGGTACAGACTTGGGGGGGCCCCTGCCATCTGAACGCGATTCTTCTCGCTGTCAATGCGCGCCTCTGCAGCAGCGACAAATCGACCCGCATCAACAGCACCTCATGCACCACCAGCTCAAGTAGCGTACAAACCAGCATCGGCAAAATCGAACAATGCCAAAGATAGAGCCCTGCAGCTGCACTAACCCAGCCTTGCATGAAGAATAAGATTGACAATCCAACGTTCTGCAGCCTCCGGCACCATGTTGACCTTTTTGGCGATCATCCTGCAGAAACACGACACAGAAAAGTGTCAAGTGGAAAGCGACACATGTAGCTGAGCTCGGATGACGGTCGCAAGTGCATATAGCACAGAAGATATCGCGAACGCATAGACAGATGTGAAAGAAGGAAACGACAAGCACCGCCGAGACGCAATAAGGAATAGTAATCAGGTAGCAAATGCAAATAAGGAGTATGCTTACTCGACATTAATTCGTTTGTGGATGCGGCAATATGTCTCGAAGATGAGCAGACGAGCGTGTTCGTTCACTGCACCCTTCAGTGGCTCCAGGAAGAAGTCCGTCTCACATAACTGAAGACAAACCTAAACCCCTTCACGGTCCCCTAGACACCTATCCCGCTTCCCAGAAAGACAAACCGCAGGCAGTAACAATCAGCCGAATAAAACACACAGTAGCCTGCGGCCTAAAGCAACAAGACAGATCGTGAGCGTCTGGGGCAGCAGCCGGCAAAGAAAGGCACGAGAGCGGTAGAATTGAGGCAGGAGAGCGGCAGAAGACAGCACAAGGAACACCGTCAACAGCAATCCTGTAAATGCCAATAGACCTCCAACAAAAAGAGCATGAAGACGACCAGACCCACTTCAGAGATGCTGGTGATGTGCTTCTGGGCCTCGTCAAAGTTGAAGTCAAGGAAAAGAGCCTCCAGCAGCGACGTGAAGGCGTCGGTGTATTTATTTTTTGTGTGGCCAATGGCCTGAGAAGCGACCGCCGGCAGATGCGCAAAGAAAAAAGTGAAGATCCAAACAAGGTTAGACAGCAAAGAAACATGCCTGGCAAATACGCTTGTATCTTTGTCGGAGTCTCCTAGCTGCTCCGTCCCGTCATTTTCTTCTACCCCATCTGTCTGCAACTGATCGTTCCCCCTCCCAGTACGGCGCCAGGGCAGTCCCTTACCCCCACAATGGCCTGGAAGTGATCTTTCCTCTTGCGGTTCATAATGGCGTAGACGGCGTAGTACCGCAGCAAGTGAGGACAGAGCAAGTGCACGCATGTCAAGTTCCTGAGTCACACACAAGGAAAAGAGCGGGTCAAACGGACGGCTACTGCGTACACCTTGGCACGAGAAGCTGGTTTCAAAAGTGCGCCTGCACGGAGCTTCTGCCCTTGTCCTTTGCTCCTAAGGACGCTTCTCCTATTTCAAGGGGCGAACAACGCAAAGTACAGCCCTCCCCCCCGCTCATGGAACATCATCCAGCAGCTGCGCAAGCGACGCACCACCCCAGCAGCAGCAATGGCAGAAGCAGCAGCAGCTCACCTTTCCTGGACGACCCAATCCAGGAGTGCCGACCAGGCCTGGTTTCGGCAGGACTGTCCTTTGGCGTATGTCAGAAGAAGGTAGTAGCGCAGCAGCAGCCACATCGCCCAGTGCAGGAGCCACGCCCTTTGTTGCAGCTGCTGCTCCCGGGAGAATATCTTGCTCATCGGAGTCTCAGGCCCTATCCCCGCCGCTGCCTTTGACGCGGCCGCCTGGGAGTGATCCAGAATGTCGGCGAGACGCAGGATGCAACGCGCAGCCTGCAACAGCAACAGCACAGCAGCTAAAGGTACTCCTGTCAGTTGCAGGCTATGTCCCTTGTCCTGCAGCAGCTGCGGGAGCACTGGCAGTTGACACAGGACGACATTCAGCTACAGCAGCAAGAGAGGGGAGGAACTGACACCATGGGCTTCGATTGCGCCAAGGGCCTTGTCCTTGCCGTCTTCCCCGTCCTGAAGCTGCTGCAGCAGCGCCTCCTCGCTCTCTGAGTTGGACTGTTGGCCCTTCGGCATATCTCCAGCGGGCTCAGACAGCGTCAGCAGCAAAATGCAGCAGCAAATGCCCCACACGCACGATACAGGCGTTTGCATGTCGCCACCTGAAGCCGTAGCAGCAGCATCGGAACGTGCACTCCCGTCGTGTGTGGGAAGAGATACGGAGCACATGGCAGCTCTTGTCGCCAGTTAGCCAAAGCTAGCGGTAGCTAGCCGTCACCACTCCGCAGATAGCAGACATGTCCGTCCCCCTCCGCGCCCCCAGCACGGGGCTAGCGCCGGCGTAGCTATCGGGGTAGGAAATCCACTCTGTGCAGCGTCCAGGAAAGGCTAAAAGCAGACGGACGCAGCGCGGGGGGTTTAGGGCTCACTGTCACTGGTAAGCTCCGACAGTGTGTTGAGGTAGAAGTCCAAGTGGTGCAACGCCTTCTTGTAATCACCCAAGGAAAACGCCACACGGGCCAGACGCACAGGCACCATCTCCACTCGCGGGATCTCCGCCAAGTTTGGCGTCGAGCTGCCCTCCGCTCGGTTCTGTATCAGCAGCAGCAACGGCAACAGCAAAAGCAGCAGATAAAGCAGAAAAACCCACAACGACAGCAGCAGAGGCGAAGTGATTGCGGGTGCAGCACCTGCTGTACCGCGCATGCGGATGCCGGACCTGGTAATGCCACTGCAGGATATCTCGGAGTCTTTTCCTTTCCAATTGGTTGCCTATCTTCCTCTGCTGCTCCCCCTTGAACGCCTGCAGCGCCTCCTCCAAGGCAACACTCTGCTGCTCCCACTGCTGCAGCTGCTCCTCGGGTTCCTCGGCTTTTCCTCCTTGCTGCTGTACGAGTTCTCGCAACCGTTGAGCAATGCCCTCTGGGGTCTTTGGCAGGATGGACTCCAACAAGGCGTCGGAGCTGCTTTCTTCCAGCAACTGCAGCAACAATCGATGCACAATCCAAATACTAGGGGTCTCTGCATATGAAGTCGACCACTTCCCGCTCCCTCCTGCGCTGAACAAGTGTCAGCGTCTGCCTTCTAAATCCTAAATGTCCCCCAGACAAATTCCTCCGAAATATCAGTGGCAGTAAGGGGTAAACAATGTGAGATGCAACTTAGGCGGGAACTGTTCTCCGGAACTCAATGGAACATAAAGGATGCGGCGAGAGGCGTCGAGAGGAAACTAACCGCTATTTTGAACATGCAGGGTGTGCACTCAGGCACGGGCGAGAATCCGCAACCCACCTGCTGAGAGCGCAGCCACTGAATCACCGGGACCGCCATATGCGGCTCCCAGAATACGGACATCCGGCGCACAAGCGCCAAGTTCTCCTCAGTGGGCCCCATCGTCACTTCACAGTTACCAGCCGGGTTTAAGTACACCCGGCTTCGCCTAGCCTTTGCTGAAGCTGCTGCTACACGTGCTGCTGCTGCGGCTGCTCTTGCCGCCTCTGCTCCGGTGCGGTGGTGGTCCTCGACGAGGGCTGGGGAATCCGCTGATGGAGAGCCTGGGCAGAAGACCTCCTCAGTGTGGAGACCGAGAAAAAAAATAAAAGCTTGCGCCCGCTAAAGTGCAGAAAAAGCCGCGAATTTCCTCTGGTTGCTGCCGCAATGGTCTTCAGGTCGGGTGGGACTTTTGTGGGGTGGCGGATAAAAGGAGAGAGAGCAGCAGGTTCAGCGAGAGGGAAGCAGCTCGCTCTTGTAATGCACAAGAACTCTCCTGCGACTGTAAAACATAAAACCCGAACGATCAGCAACGAGACCCACCCACGACACCAGGCGCTGCCGTCGGTCAGCAAAGCGGAGTGCATGCGCAGCAGCCCTTGCCACAGCTTGGTTCTGTCTTGCTTATGGGGCTTCCTGCTTCCTATCTCTTTGAGGAGTCCAGTGTACCAACTGGTCACTTAGAATGAAATTCAAAACAATTTTGTCTCAGCGCCCAACATGCAGGGTGAGGTGAACAGCAGTGGCTGCGTTGCCCCCACGCCGTTCCACTGTCCGTGGTTGGGGCATCTCTGTCCAATGTTTATACTTGCGTACGTTGCATGTAGGTTGCCAAGTAAAGGGAAGGGTACCTTAGATTGTGTATGGTGTTAGTGCACGCATCAAACGGGAGCATGTGTACTGCAGCATCCTCTGCGTAGTGCTCAGGCACTACAATTGTAAGGCCCCAATGTACTACGGAACTTGTAACGCTTGTTCTCTGGCGTGTATCTGGCCTGAGACGAGCCACAATGTAGGCAAAGACTTAAAGCAAGAGTTTCCCAAAAGCAGCTGACCTCCTTCCCCGGTACCTAGGCATCCTGGGCGTTGAGCTCAGGGCCAGGGTGTCGCGGGGAGGAGGCAGCCAGAAATGGGGTNAACGGTTGCAAGCGCTTACACGCAGCATGCCAAAACCGTCGAAAGGCTCCTGAGCTAACTCTGCGCTAACTCATGCTACAGAACTGATGTGAAAGAGCAGAGGGCTCTTTCTTATAGTGAAAAACAGAAACTTGGTGTTTTAAAATGTGAAAAATAAAATAGAATCAGACGTTATTGCTCTTAGTAGTCACGTTTCAGGCATACCCACATTCTTTTATGTCCTCTAACGATCTACACAGGGTTGTGATTCCCGTAGATAAGGAGGACGGATGGGGTTAGATCTCCAACTTGGTAATGGGAAAACGCGCTGTAAATATTCTTAACGCGAGTGGGTTTCAGTCGATAGAAGTGAGGAAAAGTAGAAATCTGAGAGCGTATTAACGATGCCCGAAAACTCCCTTCGTGTAGCATGAGTTAGCGCAGAAGCGCACTTATCCTTCCTAGATGTTGATAGGCCTGGGACGGGTCACAGCCAGTACGATTCTCTGATATAAACGTACTGGCTGTGGCCCGTCCCAGGCCTATCAACATCTGGGAAGGATATTTGCCTATCACTGCATGAATGAGGTCTTTCTGACGAGAAGTGACCGATTGATTTGTTCACACTCCCCAGAAAATACTTTCAACCAGCACAGTGTTAAATAGAAACTAGGTAGTCAAGGGAAAATGGTGGGAAACAATTCAGTTGGTGCTCGGGACCGGCCGTAACAGCACAGGAGCGATTTTTATATCGAGTTCATCAATTTCTACTGTTATTAACATCCCTTTAGGAGAGTCTGCCTTATTAATTCCTGGGTTGGGAAACTCCGGAGTTTTTGATAGAGATTTCTCCAGTGAAACCTGGACCTGCGGGACCCAGGGAGTTACTGTAGAAGAAGCCAGTTGGCAATAGCATAACTAGCGCTGGAGAACGTACAGTCTGAATAACTGTATAGTACATGTACCTAGGGTCCTCGAATCTACGTGAAGAACCTGGTTACGTGTGGCGGGTGGCTCTTCAGGCGTCATAAGCCGCAATAAAGTCAAAATACTTGGGTAAGAGTCCCCAAAAGCTAGATGACCCCGGGCTGGTCTGGAGGGGAGGCTCCCTGAGACCAGTTGCAGCAGGGCGCGCTGCAACTCTTGCTGCAAGACAACGCCAAACATGTACATCGGCAATTCTCGCCAGCCAAATGACAATCTGTATCTTCCTTTGCAGACCCAGCCTGTTTGGTGAATATACCCCATTCTGTGCGTTACAGACAACTTTATCCTCTGTACGAAGCTCCTCCCACGGGCAAATGCAGCGCTGCAAGAATGCGCGGATCTACAAACCCTTGCTGCGGTTGAGTGAGTTGCCCACCAAGCAGTGAGCACGCGTCTTCACGGGGTTGCGCAAAGAACTACATACGTGCGTCGTTGAAGCCCTTCAAGAAGTTCAGCCTAGCGATTAACTCCCATATTTATGTTCGGCCAGTTGAATCAATGACTGAAGTTCACTGTGTTGGAGTTCTGGCTTGATCAGCAGTGCCCGAATATGTCGCATGACCACGGGGAATTGTTCCACGAGAGCAGAGTATCGTGCTCTGTAATAATCGAACGGTTCCAGGTGCTGAGATGGAACAGCCCTCGGCAGGCGGTAGAAGGGGTGTTCTAATGGCGTCCCGCGACCGCTGGAAACCTTAACGAACATATGCACACGCGCACGTAACACAACCAAAACGATGGTACGCATTAAGATATAGTCACAGCCCAAAGAGCCTAGGAACCCGTATTTGTAGTGTGGTGGGTGTAGGAGAGTCAAAGTCGGAGAGGGGAAAGTAGAGGAAGAGTCGATTTAACGCAGAACGGCCCATTATAAAAAAAGTGCAGCCACTCGACGACGAGGGAGAAGTAGATCATGC